AAAAAAAAAAAAAATCTTTTAATGCCTTTATCTGATCAGGTCTCTCCCCTGCTCAGAACCCTGCTATGGCTCCATCTCAGGGTAGAAGTCAAAATCCCTGTGGCCCAGGAGGTCCCACAGGATCTGCCCCAGTCACCCCCAACCTACCTAATTTCCCACCACTCCCCACTCAAGCGCTCTAGCACTCTGCTCCACCATACCGGCTTCCCTTCCAAGCCTCAACACACCAGGTGCATTCCTACCACTTCAGGTCTACCAGGGCAGGGGGTTGTCTGTTTCATTCCCTGCCCTGTCTCCAGTGGCATGCTAAATTCTCAGTAAGTACTTATGAGATACAGAACATCTCCTCGCTTGTTTTCCAGAACACACAGGCCGGGCACAGCGGGGAGGGTCACATCCCCAGGTCCCAGGGCTAGAGGAGGCAAAGGTGGGGTCCCCAGCCAGTCTGAGACACCCTGGCCCCGTCTCCTGGCCTCACCATTTCGACATGGCTGCAGACTGCACCGGTCCACCCTCTTCTCACAGTTGGAGCCTTGAAACCCAGGGGGGCAGTGGCAGACGTAGGCGGAGTCAGGGTCTGCACCCCCGACACACAAGCCGCCGTTGAAGCAGGGTCCATCTGCGCACGTCACTCCGCTCACCTCACACCGCAAGCCGTAGAACCCACGGGGACAGGCACACTCGAAAGACCCAGGTATCTCCTGTGTGGAGGCAAAAGGCCTTTGGAAGGGAGTCTCCTTGGAGCAAACCCTCCTCTGCCCCCAGTCTTAACCACTGGGGGCTGCCCTTTGCCCAATCCCGAGTCCCACTGTGCAGGGGTCTCACCTGGGAGGTCCTCCCCACACCACCCGTTGCTCCACTCCATGTTTCTGTGTTTGCCCATGCAACCCCACAGGGAGGAGGCTCTGGTGGTCTGGAGTGATCCATCGCACCATTTTCTTTTCTTTTTTTTTTTTTGAGTTGCAGTCTCACTCTGTCGGCCAGACTGGAGTGCGGTGGCCGCTCCC